TTCCTATACCATTATTCCGTCATCTTCATTCCTATACCAGTACATACTATGTTTTCAGAAAGTTTTACAGGGATTGCCTCGCTTTCAATTCAAAATGGCCAACTTGAAAGTATGATCACCACGTGCTGGTCAAGCTATCAATGTAATCACCATTTCTCCAAAACTATCAAGGGGGAAACTGGGGTTTGGAGGATTTTCATTTATGTAAACTAGGGTAAAGCCCAATCAGATACAAACCTGCCATGTGGGAAAAGACAAGTGGCCCAGAGGCAGAAGAAATGTTCAATTTAAGAGGTGGGAGGAAAACCCCAGCCAAAAAAAATCCCCAGGGAGACACATGAAATCAGCCAGGGACTGAAAACCCAATCCACAGATGAGCTTAGGTGGGATTCGAACCCCTGGTCACAGAGGTGGCAGGCGAGGACAGTCTATGCAACTTTACCAACCTGACTCCCCGATGATGAAACTTAATTCTGTGTTAATTGAAAACCTCCAAGGTACTACCCACTCACCCCTTCCTCTGATAACAGTTGAGCTGACTCTGTGTATTCTGGCTTCATCTTCTTGCAATGACCACACCCTACAAGTCACAAGAATAAGCAGTACATTTACATAATGTATGAATATGCAACAGGCACTGGGCCATAACATTCCAAGAGGAGCACTTCAAACAAGAGCATGCAATTCATTCATGACCAAAATTGAAATCCACTCCAAAGATTTGTACACGTACCAATATGTCAAGTTCCAATTCAAGGAATGCACCAAAATGGGCAGATGAACTTACACGGGGCGTAGAACATGACCAGCACTGATGGGTGTCCTTCCACGTAGCTGTCAAACGTTTCGTCAGTGAGGTGAATGACCTCGGACTCTTCATCACTCCACTGGGCTTCAGGTTCTGGTTCCTTGGGAGGTTGGGGACTGGTCAAAACGAATCCCCAAGGAATCGCTTAGTACATGTAGCAGTGATAAGCATCATCAATTAACAGATAACTTTTTTAGACAAGAGTGGCACAGGAAACCTGCAGACGGTAAGTCAAGTTTCGTTTTCTAAACAGCTTAACTTAAGTTTAAGGTCATCAATTCAGGAATAAATACACCTCAGACAAATAAAATAGGTATTTTGGTACAGTGCTGTGGCCAAGAAAACATTTAGACTCTGACACAAAACTAGAAAATACTACCAGGTCACAACTCGTACAGAGTTGTGACCTGGTAGTATCACAGAAAGAAATCACTGACATTTTATTCTTATTTGTGTCCAAATCACAAATCAAACTTTTCTATTTTGAATTTCCCATTTGCTTATCATGATGTTCTTGAGACTTAATATGGAGGTTTTCTAGTCCTCCTCCAGCAAAAATTGATCTTAATTTTCCAGTTTTTCTTGATGTTTCAATTCCATTTCATACTGACAAATGTGACAAGTGTCCATTCTATGAAATACATTCTGGTCTTACTCTTTCATCCATTCAATGATGCCACTTTGATCTCTCTCGCCACCATAGTTAAACTTCTGTTGTCCATCCCTTGAAAAAGGAGAAATGAAAAAAAGACAAAATTATCAAGTATTTTCTTGCTCTGCTGAAATAAATATTCTCTGTCTTTCCAATCCAGCCTGTACATAACCCTGAGCTGTTAACAAACCCTTTGGCAAGTCTTGACCTCGTCATTTTGGTATTCTTCATTAACTCTGAAAAGCTCTGACTGAGGCCACGCATCAGGAATCATTTCCATTTTATTTGAGAGATTCCATTGGGATAATGTGCATTCCTATTGCATGGCACTAACATGTTATCTTGAGGCAAACTTGAATTCCTAAGTCTGACTGGTCAATTCATGGCAACAAACAGTGTGATACATCATTGTACTGCACGATTCCCATCAAACCCAGAGTACATGTAATGCAGTATTCAAAAACCTTGCATTCAGCTATTTCTATGCTAAAAGCAAAACACACAGATGCAAAATTTACTGTAAATTCAAAGGTGACGCATTTGCGCATAGGCCTCTATGACATCCTTACTGCGTGTCAAGTTTGCTTGCAGATAAACTTGTTATCATGCTCCCATATACTACTCGGCCTTTGGCCTCGTTGTATGCGAACCACAGATGCACTATATTATTCAATGTTCCACTCAGGCTCATGTGATAACTTACATTATTCAGGCTTCTTTAATGGTAAACAGATCAAGACTTGATTCCAAATATTAAAAGCTTCCCAAGATCAATAACTTCTAGGGAGCAAAAAATGATGCAACCAAAAACAGAATTCATAAAACTTTATTTACAACAATAAACATGAATATTAGCAATGTGTTCATGAATACATGAATGTCCATGACTAATGTCCATGACTAATGTCCATGACTGTGCAGTTGCAACTTAAAAGGTTTCCAATTTCTTTGTGACCACTATCCAGACTTCACAATACATAGGCACTGAAATTTGAGATTTGGACATTAATACAGCAAAAAGAATTACATCTCACAAGGCTTTGAGACATTTGATCAAATGCAAATTCTGGAAAAAAAATAAGGACTGTTCATTAGATCCTCAGTAAAAAACAAAGCGTGACTGTGTTAGATTTCACTTTGCCTTGTACTGCTGAATGTTAATGATTAAAAGCTGATAGGCATTGAGTAAGCAAGAACTTAAACCCAAATCCTGGTGTTCCTTTCCCAAGTTCCTAATTAAATAAAGGCAGAGTTCCCTGCGGGATACTCTCAATTTAAGAGATGCTTCTAGTCATACCTGCAAAAACTTGAGCAAATTTGAAACTGATCAGCCAAGGTTGTCCCACTTACTCAAAATAAATGATTGTAGGGAAGCCGGTGATGTTGTAGGCTGTGCGAATCTCGTAGTTTGTAGGTAGATCAACGTCTACACCAGCTAAGACCTGAAGGGCATAGAAAATGGATTTGAAAAAACAATAAATAACACAAATAGAAATATTAAGATGTGTGAAGTTGGCAGAATCACTATACCCTAGTATACTCTAATGTGGACGAAACCTTTCAAAAATTTCAAAATGATTTTCTTAGTTCTGTTGCATCCAAAATTAAAGCCGAGTACACTGCCGGCAAACTAGTTTCCTTGCATTCTTCCACTTTTTTCTGTCCAAGATATCCTCTTACCATTATGCAGTTACTATACGGATCCAAGCTTTCAAAATTGAACGGAAGGTTTGGAGGGTGTTCCAAGATTGCAGCTACTTGAATATTACACTTCCAAACAAGACTGACTTACATTTTTCATTACATGACAGCAGGATGCACTGATAAATCCCATTTTACCGACATGACCTCCATTGTCCTAATTACCCCCAATATCAAGTTTACCTCAGACACAAATCAGATTTCACAGCATCTTTTTTATCACCTTGAATCCAATACACACTGAGCTATATCAAATTACTTGGAGTTGCCTGTGCCAACTCAGATGAAGAATTATCATAATCCAACACCAGGGGAAATTAAGAGGTACAGTCCATCAAGATTTATGCCCTGGTATCATTTTCATTTGAAGCAGCTGCTACAGCTCACTACAACTATGCAATCCTTTTTTCTTCATTTTTACAAGCATATTAAAATCAAACCTAAAACAACGTATGGTAGGAATTTCTCTTTCTTTGTGGTGGGGGTAAAAATCCATCAAGGACAGAAATAGATTTCTGTTCTACATGTAGTTAATTCAAAAGAATTTATTGGGAGAAAAAAAAAGGCACTGTAAAAGAATCGTTTAGGGTAAGATTTTGGCCCAAGGTCTTTTTAGTACAAGAATTATGCCCATGACTGTGCACATTCCAATCAGAAATGCACAAAACTGTAAAGATTTCTTGCCATGTTCTTGTGGGGAACCATATTTCAGACATAATTATTACAAAGTCACTTTAAACTACTATCTTCCCACTTCAGATGATATCACACCGAATCAACTGAGCCCCAAGCACGGCATGTACTGCATGCATTAATTTGTGTCTGGTAACCAGACATTAAGCTGATGCACATGTTCTAGGAAGGTCTAAATGACTTCCGGGCCGTGAGTGATGAGAGTGTAATTAAAACACACAGTCTGGAAGAGTGAGATTGCTTTCTTTGATTTTGATACGAGGGGAAAATTGCAAAAGCAGGCAACGTCAGAGATCACGTCGTCTGCTTGAGTAGTCTAAGAGTCTTGCATTCTGGACTGGTTTTTTAACCTCACCCTTCGCAGATTTCTCTCCATATAGTCAAGTCACCATTTTAACATCTGCATGTACATTTTGTATTGTGGTACCAAAGTACAAGTACATGTAAGCTTGAGTTATGCCTTTGGACAGACCTATCATGTACAAGTCGATTTTTTTGTGAAGATACAATTGCAAGGTCGTTTGCATACATAAATAAAGAGTACATGCACATTGACAGGTTCAAACTAGTTTCTTTTCTTATTCCTCTAATTCTAACGAGCTGAACCTGCCCAGCAGGCCTTGTTTGTCGTTTTATGACACATCTCTTTGGCTGTCTGTATTATCACCAGCTTTATCTAAAAACACAAGTTTCCACATACCACCAAAAACTACAGTTTTGTCATACGTACATGTAGTTCTGTTAAAATTTATTTATCATTGTTTTTCCTTATACGGAAATTGCTGACATGTAAATTAAGGCCTTTTGAGGGAAATCTGTTGACCAAATGCACGTTTGGTAAGGGTAGACAGATTTTGCGCATTGTGATTGGCCAACGCATTGCAAACTATTGGAGGCGCACTATTGTGAATCGTCCGTATTGATGTTCACTGACCTTGCATTATTTTGTATGACAAATGAATGTTTCTTTTGAAATGAACCAAATAGAAAAAAAAACTTTCTTTATAATAATCCTTCATAAGGTCAAATGCCACTGTTAAGAGATGTTGCTCATTATCAACTTTACCATTCCATCCCAGAAGAAATGAAATCCTACAAGACCAGTCAAAACTCTAGAGAAGAGAAGTCAAACTCACCGCAGAGTCCTTGAGTTCTTTGGCTGCGCCAGCAAATTCTGGCTTCATCTTTTTGCAATGCCCACACCCTGAGCATAATAAATCAATGAATATTAATCATTCCAATTACAAACCGACAGGTGATAAATTTTATGTGATCCACATCTTGATGGTCACAAACAACACTCTGTTACTAAATCCATTACCACATGGCCATAAATTTCATAGAACCTGGCTAACCCACAGAGGACTGATTTGCAAGTTATTCGATGCAACCAAAACTCGTGTGTCAAATCAATTGATTTGTGCCACATTTGAATGCTACAATATTAAGTTTTCAGACATACCCGACGTACATGTACATGTACGGTATGCATGAGTGTTGAAAGACAAATTTCAATTTTGTTACACTGTAAAAGGATGAGAGAATATACAAGGATATGTCCATGTAGCAAGAATTATTGAAGGATAATTTTTTGTAGGACTGCATGTAACTTGTAGGCCTCATTTCCATGGTTTCACAGTGTATTTTGACTGAAAAAAAATACCAAGGCAAATGTACATGTACAAGGGCACTGCTTGCTGGCCTCCTCCAATCAACTTTTCTCCCATTCAGGGACTCTCAAGACTAGATTCAGAAATCACTTCAAAAATGCAAGCAAAACATTCAAATGAAAGAAAGGTTAGCTTACATGGTGCATAAAACATCACCAAGATTGGTTTCTTCTCCTTGGACAACATTTTCTGCAGCTCCTTGGAAACCAGACACACAAAATCAGAAAGTAAGATGAGTTAACCTGATATGGGGGACGTCTGAAGCAGTGCAGCAGGGACCCTTTCTTTCATATACAGAAAAGTTGATGGTTCCCTTTCAATAATCTGATCCCTAAAATAAGGAAGAGTTTAAAATCTTGCAAAAAGTTACTGTTATGAACTATAGGCCCTGAGCTTTCCAAACTGTACATGGCAGGTTCCTCAAAATATGGACCATTAGATGTTCAACTTTGGGAGCTCATTTTTGCAGAAGTGTACAGCAGTGAATTGATTCTCGGTGTCTGATATAATGAGGGAAGTCATGGCTGATATCTGGAACAATGATGACCGTGTCCATCTTTCAACTTAATTGGAATTAATTAAAGTCTTGAACGTCAGCATATTTGATGGATGTGAACAACCTGTTGAAATCCTAGCCAATAAAATTTGCCGAGGAGTGATAATCCCTGCCGTTATTTTACACAGATTTATATGAGGTGAAAGGTGATAACATTTACACATATTAAAACCATAATCACGAAATTAAAAAATACCTCTCACAATTAATTAGGTCCTGAAGTCGGCAGTCACGAATGTCATTCGATTCTGTCACTAGTGTCAAAAAATCGACTGCAAAAAAAAAAGCGCAAAAAGCACCGCCAAATCATCATCCTTTTACGACTGGACCGATCACATTTTCTTCAAGTATATTTCCGAAAACCGCAGTCAAAAATACCGATCATGGCAATTTTGTGACTTCCGTCATTCTCTCACCGTGCCGTTAGAATAACGTTTCGCTGCACTGTGGCCTGTTTTACCTTTGACATCAACCCAGATAGTATGCCTTCTTTTTTATTCGATATTAATGAGCCCCTCCACGGAATGGTGATGCTCCGTGATTTTTCTCTTCGGACAAAGGTTTCTCGAAAGAAAATCGGTCATTCTGAATGAAATTTGAAAAAAAAATGACTTCCGAGACATAAAATTTGATTCATGATGAAAATCTAATGCTCAGAGTTGTTATTTTTAACTTAATTTTCAGCGGGGGTATCTCCAAAATAAGCAGCAAAATGAACATTACGCATGGAATGTTCGAGCACTACATGTGACAGCATTTTCGGCATTCTCGTACATCATGCATTTTTGTCAAAATTTTCGAACATCATCAAAATTCTGTCAAATATGACGTTTGCAACGAACATATTGTACTCGTTACACATTTTTGATGCAGCCAAACTTAAAGATAATTTTCAGTGGTTGAAAGGTATAAGACCTGGCAAATATGTTGGTATAGTGAGAGTGATTATCAACGGTAAGAGAATGAAGAGAGCCAATCTTTTCTCATCATTTTCTGTCGATTTGTGCTCTTTTTTTTAATGGCTTATATTTTTTTAAAGTTATTTCTTAGGTGCTTTAAAATACATCAGTTGAAAAATATATTGAATTCTCCTTCTTGTTGAGAGAAGTTTTGAAATCAAGTCCTCTGGTGTAAACACTTTGACGTAAAACTTTAAATGAATTCAACTCCATTTGATTTGCACTGGTAGCCAACCAAATGTCCACCATAAGTACATATTATGCCTAATTATCCCCATATAATCATTTTTATAAATCTGAAGGTGCTAATTTGTATTTTTCTTGATCAAAGTCACTCTTTTACAAGTTTTGAAAAATGACATTTGGGGTTGCATTTTGGTCCATTTTATGAAGACCATGCCACATGTACATGTCACACTCTTCTTTTTCACAGAATAAACAATGAAATTGAACAGCTTGATAATCAAACCCTTCAATCTTTTCCCCCAAGATAAACAAAACTGTAACTGTAGAAGTGCTCATTGGTAATTGAGCATAATATTTGAATGGGTAATAGACCCTTGTGTGTATGTTGAATGTCAAGTGAAACTGCCATATTATGTCTGACAGTAACTTATACCATGCCAGCAATAAATGCACTTCGGGATACTCCTCTTGAACTTCTAAGCTTTATTCATTAGTGTTAGGATCAAGACTCAGACCTTGGAAAAAAGGTTATCAAATGAAAGTTCAGATTCCAGTCAGGCCCAAAGGACATGAGAAAACACTTCCATGCTCATTTTTTTTTTAGTGTTTTAGTGTTTAAATGGGAGTCATAAATCATCATTTTTAAAGGAAAAAGTTGAAGTGTTGCCAAAATAATATCGATAAGGTCTCACTTTCACCTGAAGGTTTACCAGAAGAAATGCACCGTTATTCTTTCATTACACAATTCTCTTTAATAAAATGTTATTTGACTTGCGTACATTGTACAAATACCCAAATAAAGTCCCTGAAAATTCTCATAAATGATACAAAGTGAAGAGATGTTCAAGAGCACCTCTAAGGAAACCATGTTTTCTCTGATTTTATCTGTTCAAATAAAAATGGAAGTATCCAGATTGCCAAAAAATGCATGTAGCCATTGTATGCAGCCATTGTTTGGCATGCACAAGGGCTTATCCACTACAAACACAGGGCAAAGGTTCCCCTCGTTTTTTCTGTTTTCTCCTCAATGACGCAATCTACATTGAGAATTCGCATCTTGGCATGAACAGAAAAAAACCTTTTTAGCTGGTTATACTTGAGCTCTGAAAACGAATGACACTGCGTTCAATTTGGATGCTTCCATATTTATTTGAAGATATAAAATGCAGTGCATACGATCCTCTACCCACGATGCATCTCTTGTACATGAATACGACAGATTTTCATGTGAGGCCTACATGTAACTCTAATCTGCTGCAAGGAAGCACCATATTTATCTTTCTGGACTTATTCTCTTTTTCCACCAAGCCAGAGATTTACTCAACCAAAAAATCAAGAAATACATATCCATTACAGAACTGGACAAGATGCTTCATAGGCTCTAGGCACCAAGAGCTTTGTTCATGAAGGCCCTAGGTACTCTGCTCCAGGTATCATCCCTAATTTCACAAATGAGGTTATTTGGTTGGATTCTTGCATTCCATTTTGACGCTAATAGGAAACTAGTTGGAAGCTTTTCCAAAATGAAAATTCAGAGCAAGACACTTAACCTTGTCAATAGTGTTTTACTTTTTTCACAAGGTATTCCATTAAGGACTCACATTTCTGCATGTCCCTGATTTTTTCTGGTAAGGACTAGGCATAGAGACTATTGGATAATCTGCCCTGCTCAATTCAATTCTACGCAAACAACAAAGAGCAGAATTTTGTGCATCTTTCTGTGACTGTTCTGTTGGTATAATCTGTAAAGAGTGTTTGTTTGTCCATTCTGTCCAGCACACTATCTTTAATCTATGTGTACACGCATCACATGTGACCCGCTCTGCAAAAAAGGGTAAACAGTTGCGCAATTCCAAAATATGTTATGGCTTGTCCTATTTGGAGAGGGCAAAATGTCTTTCAAAATGTGATTTTGAGTTTTTTCCTCTATTAGCTTGTATAACATTTATGTTTTCAGAATTTGTGACTACAAACATGGATACTGATGAATAAAGATGAAAAATGGATCATTCAGTAGGAAATTCTACATAGCATTGTGTTTCTAAGTGCTACACTTCCTGAGCTTTTTCTCAAAAAGTGCTTTTATTGAATCCGAAAATGTGGATATACAGATGTCTAAATATCTCTGGAACGCAGTGCACTACAGGGGTCATTCATATATCAAATTGTAGCTTTTAATGTACAGAATCCAGCCATATCAAAAACTGATAACCCGAATCTAGCGACTTATTACCCATTTTTCTAGAGCCGGTCACATATAATATGCAAGGTTCACCTACCTTTCCTGACTCAATGTGTCTGACATTGCCAGCTGTGGGATCCTCCATCCATGGTGCGTCTTCCGTAGGATTATTCAAGAAATATATCATAGACTACAATTGGAATAACAGAAATAAAAGTGCCAAAAATTTTTTAAAACATCAATGATAATTCAGGAAATGCAGGAATCGCAGATTATGGCTGAAACAGAATACACAAAGAAATAATTTGAAATAATAATGTTTGATGCAATGTATGTATTGTAACAAATATCACTTTCAGCATTTCATGTCACCATTTAAAATGTACTGTTAACTTTTTAGAAATTACAATTAAATTACCTTTTTATTCTTCCTTCTGTCATAATCTTTATTGAATTCACCCTCCCTGTTACAAAGAAAGAAGTTTATTTCAGAAAAAATTTTCCCTGATTTTAAATTGTTTTTCTATGGCTAGTATTTATGTAATGATGTAGAAGCTTTTACAGTAGTTTTACCACGACTTAAGCCCAGATGCATATACTACAAGTCAACCATTTATATTCTCTGGAAATTTTCTTAAAGCTACATACATGTATCTCAGAAATTATCCATATATCACTCCAAAAAAAAATCCTTTAAACAACATCTGTGTTGTCGAGCTTCATGTTTGGGAAACATTGCTAAGCTCTGATTCAAGTCCATCTGGAAAGCTTGTGTTACAAATGATTTTAACAGATCTTACAGGGCAAGGACCAAAGTTACCTACGACAAACTTTGAAGTACAGTGCCTTTTAAAAAGAAAACCACGCATATGCTTACTGGTAGTGCTTGAGGACCACATTGCTTGGAGAGACCCTAAATTTCTTGCATAACTTCTTGGCATCACTATAAGAAATTTAACAAACATTAAAGGCTTTATAAAGAACAATGCATCACAATTCTAAGTAAAATGAAAATCAGAAATACAAATTCAAATTCATCTTATTCAGATAAGGAGTGTGTGTTTTGTTTTTTGTCCTAAACCAAGTTTAATTCCATCATACATGTGACACAACTCTCTGCTACAACTGATAAAGGGCAAGTTTTGAGATTCAGCAAGAATGACTAATACACAGGTGTGGTCAAAGAAACGATTGAAAGAGATTTCCAGTGCAAAACTTGCCGCTAAGATGATAATAAAATCTTACCTAAAAACTCATCACCAATCTCCGCACCTCTTTTTTTCCTTTCTTTTTTTTTCAGTGGGTTCAAAAATGTGGCAATCATCCATTTTTGAAGTCCTTGTAACAAGCAAAAATGATGGCATCAACCTTTCTCCAAGTTCTTGATAGTGGGCAAAGACTACAAACCCCTCCCTTCTTGCATATACTTTGTGCTCTTGCAAAGGACAGAAAAGATGGATGACCCTTTAAGAGACTACAGAACTTTTTGCAAGAGTAAAAGGGTGAGCTACAGGTGGTACATGTATGTTAAAAATCACCTGCAGTCAACAGTCAGCAGAGTAGCTAGGCCCTTCATCTCCGAGGCCACATCACCGTAAACATCCATCCAGGAATTGGCATCTTTAGCTGGTTTTTAAAAGAAATCAATGTGATGATTCTGACAAACACGGCCACATAGAAAGTACAGAAAAGGCAGAATTAAAACAGACATTATTTAGGAACAATGTACCGGTACATGTACGTGTTACTTGTTGTTTTAAATGTTTGTGTCTGTGACTGATATTCAAGAATGACCAAACAAATAATAACAATACATGTTTTGTTCTAACACTGCAAAACTTTTCCCTGAGTCATATCACGACAAAATTTCAAATATATCAGAAACAGAATTATGGCTGCAACAATGAATAATTGTCTGTATATTTATAGTACAGTGTATGCAAAATTCTGATCTCAACTGTTCATTGATGTATACATACATGCATGTATGTATGTACATAAACAAGTTTGTCTTTGGTTGGCCACACATTTGTATAAATTACCCCAAGACATTTCTCCTGACAATTTACAAATCTGGCAGCAGTCTTGAAACTGCTGCAAAGTGACTCAAGTGAGGTATTCTTTGTACTCAACTGGAACATCTAAACCCACGCACAATGTACCTGTATGTGCACCACGTACACTGTAAAGTGCATGCACTGTAATAGTGGCCAGGATGCACAATCTGGAATCCATTCAGATGTATACTACATATATAATGTTGGATTCCAGAGAATTAGCATTGAAGATATACCCTCTCTTCACAGTTTGTATCTAATCTACCCACAAGCCAACTGCTAGAAATTGGGACTGTATTTAAGTATGATAAATGCATGTACAGTGTACATGTACATGTATCTTATGTTAACCTGTGTGCTGCTGTGCCTTGGGTTTGGGGTCAAACAATGAATTTCTCACCACACAATGTAGGAGAAGGGACAGTCGACTCCCAACCCTCTCTAAGATGTGGGAGGATACTCTCCCAAGATCCCCACATGCACAAAAGTACAATCAGCATCAATGTAAAGATAACCTCACAAATTTATGACTGTTTGTTTTAAGAATTGTCAAAATACACAAAAGATAACTCAAAACCATTTTAAAATTAAAATTTAAGAAAAGAGACAATGCTTCTACATGTACAATTTCTTACAAATTTTAGTTATCTCCCCAATTTGATAAGGTTAAACCTTGCTGAACACAAATTTTAAAATAGGCAACTGCAAACTGGTGATTCCTGGATTTTAACAAATCCAAAAGTATACTAAGAGTCACAGCATCATCCAGGGATAAGAAGTAAGTTTTGAGGTGTCCGAGGTCATGTTAATGGTCTAGTGGCAGAAATGTCGCATACAAAATTTCTATGTTCACAACTGTCACTGAACACAAGCAAAAAATATGGTATGCACTAAATAATAAAACGTTGCTTCAATTCTTTTCTACTTTATATAATGTACATGTATATGATTTTTATACTTACCCGTTTTTGAAAACAAAACCATTACATTATTGCGTGTTCGCAAGAGTTTCTTAAATTCCTTAATCTCATCAACAGGGATGATGTGTTGACTTCTGGGCTTCTTGGCTTCAGACAGACCAGGGAAAACCTGAGTATAAACAAATTGTGGGCAACTTGAGTTTAGTTCATTCTTATCCCGTGACCTGTGGATGCTGTTTTCCTTTTGCTTTCATTCTAACTATTTCAGAACCTTCAAAATCCAGGAGGGACATCAGAAGAAACCAGGCCACTGCCATCTTACACACATGTTCTGTATGTGTATTGGCTTCATACATGGAATGTTGCAAAGAATATATTTACTGTACCACATGGCACATCACTGGTTTCTGCACAGTGGATTCTGAAGTCTTCAACAAGTTTCCATGCAGTTTAATACATGTAGCTCAGGCTTATTCAACATTGCGGTCTCACACCACAAAACAGTGTGTACGTTAATTTACAGTTCGGTAAAATGAAGTGTTGAAAAATGTCAAAATCACACATCCCGGGTACCTACACATACATGTACTCGTACACGAACTGTAAAGTGGGCAAATTGACCTATAATCGGCAATCGGTATTCCCCTTAATTACTGCCAACCTGGCAATAAAAACAATGCTATATGTAAGCTCCACAATCGCATGATACATATTTTATACATGCAAACAGTGATTAAACACTCAAGTTACATCTGCTTTTCAGCGGTACACATTGTCCAGTTTACATACATGTACACGTACATGTGTAAGCATACTGCATAAATTGGACACTGATACATACATATTCCGGTATCCCCAACTTTACCTGTATGTATGCTTTCATCGTACAGGTAGTTTACAGGTTGTTTAGCTGCCCGAAAAGGCACCTGAATAAGCCAATGCCCATGTACAAAATTTGAAGCTTTGCATACAATTGGTAAAAGATGTGTAGCCAAAAACAAGAGTTGATACGGTTGCACTCTGCAAGGAAAGTAGAAATTCCAGGGAAATATGGATATATCCGACTGGTAGAATGACATGTGGGAAAAGCAGGTGGAAGGACATGTCATGTGGGAAAGGCAGGTGGAAGGACATGTGGGAAAGGACTTCCGACACTGCTCAATATACTGAAACAGCACCTTGCAGAATTTCATAAGACAAACTTAGCTTTAAGCATTGGGTCAGTTACTCCCATACAAATACTAGTCCATGAAACGTGAATAATAAATTTGAGGACTTTTGGACACTCAACGATACAAGTTTGTTTGTTTTTTAAAGTTCCCAATTAAAAACAAAAAAATTGATTTAAATTTTGGAAATCTTGTTTTCAATTTGTCTAAATCATGATTTTTAATAACTCTGGGATTTGGCATTCCCAGAAAGTTTAAAAGAACATGGCGCCCACACACACATTAATGTTCAACTTTATTTATTTATTGGTTTATTGGAATGTCTCACGAAGTACCCTGAAAAAGGCTGAATCCTTTTATACACAGACTGGCAGGTGTCCTATAAGGTACATGTATCGCGATATCTCGTACCCTGGATGACTCATACCCAAAATTTCACATCCGGGACAACTCGTACCCAAGACATCTCGTCCCCGGGACACTTTTTACCCGGGACAATTCTCACCCGGAAAATAAATGCAATTTTTTCCAAGTTCCAGATAATGGAGGAGAAGGTGTCACTATATCCCATTCAGACTGTTTGAAGCCTCGGAAGGGTAGAAATAATAGGAAGAAATTAAAATAATGTAGACCAGAACAATATTTACCCAAATAATGGGTTGGGTCAAGTTTTACCTGAGAAGATAGCGGGAATGCATTTTCGTCCCTTCGAGGACTCATCAGCCGCATGATTAAAAAATGAATCCAACTGAATACAGGTATGGTTCAATACTGGGTTGCCAGAGTTGAGGGGCCAGTGTTTGAAAAGAGCATTCTTGATATCTCTGTGTTTCACATGGGGATTGTGCATACATGTAGTCGTAAAGACGAGGGGAAGTTCCATTTTGTTCTTCACTTTGTTTTTGTTGTGAATCATAGATCGTGTTTTTCCATGTTTTGTTTTCATTCTCAATTGGTTCTTATTGGTACATGTACCAAGCAACGATTTCAAACTGGCTTAGTTTTCCGGTTACACACAAAACCGACAGCTGCATTATCAGCAATCAAAAACCGCATTTGATGCTACAGTATAATTCAACTTAATGTCGCCACAAGCTATAAACAAATGCAATTTTCTCTTGGGTTATGAGATGTCCCGGTTACGAGTTGCCCTGGATACAAGATGTCCAACATTCTCTGATAAGTGGGACCCTCCAAAGTGTGTACTGACCACTGTACCAATAGTTTCCGGGCACAGAGCAAGGAAACAACATGTAGGCCTACATAGTATTTTGCTCCATCCATTACTGTGTCCTTTTCAGTTTTGTGGCGCATAAATTTACGAGACTAAATTAAAATGGAGCGATCACTGTATGAAACTAAGAGCGAGAGATAACATGATTCGCTCTTCAAGGTTGCAACCCATCCTCTTAAGTCTTATTCAACTTTGTCACTTTACAATGCTTTACACCAAGTTTGGTGGGTGTGAGCCCTTTCCTCGCGTCTGTCCGGAAACTGGCACACTTCCAGTCCACTTGATGAACAACAGACCAAGAACCTAAATTGTAACGTTAGGTTTACTTTCACAAGACATCATTTCGTTCTACTCTTAGGTAAGCAGTCAAATCAAGCCACTCACCAAAGAGAAGCAAAGGCCCAAGAGAAAAACAAGCCACGAGCACTTGTGGAAAAGTTCCATGCTGGCGCTTATGCGGGGACTCGACCGTGCACGCGAAGCGAAGCCAGGGGAAGTGAAGTTATGCCACGTTCACTAACCCAGCTGCATATCCTCTGTCCCATTAAGCGATCAAGGCCACTGGGCCGTATTTTCGTAGTACCCGTACGCGTAGGCCTACTTCACGCGTGTTGAGTTCATACTCTAAGCCGTTTCGAGCCAACTTGCTGCGGCTACAGTTGCTAGCTGGCAAATGTTACAAGCACACTTCTAGCCACAGCCACGACTTCAACATGACCTGATGAAAAGGCTGTGACAGGTGCTATCAACACCACAAAACTTACAGCCTGCCCCCTCTTGGTCACTTTGAGGAAAACTCTTCGCGGTGTATCGAGTTCATGAACAGTACATACGCGTACCTCGGTATATCCGCCCCGTGCAAAAGTGCACCCCAAGTCGGTAAAAGAAAGACAGGTGGTTAATAAGCGGGTTCTTGCGCGCGTTCTGCGTGTACGCGTACTCAGCAAGCTCCGCGTCAAACGCGCACGCCCCCTTTTGTTCCTCTTTGAGCGGATATAGGGTGTAGTCGTTAATTTTTTTTAAAAATTGCCATGAGCATGCAACAGTGATAAATATCCCAACTCCAAACACTAGAAAAATACTTTCCTTAGGGGTTCAAGACAACCATCAAATTAAAGCCCCTCTCGTCACCTCTCATTATCCTTTCAAGTTTTAGTGGGTTAAACAACAACTTTTGAAGATATTTCTATCCAGAGATGATCACCCCGAAGACAATTCAAGTTGATGCCTACATTCCATTGTAACTTTGTTAGGGCCCTGTTTTGTTCAACATTTTCAGAAATACAACCTAGTAGTCCTGTTGCACGGTAACTTCCATCCTTTAGTTCTTTTTTATCTTTGTAAATCATCCAGTCCAGGGGCGCCACCATTCTAAATATTGTAGGGAACTTGCATGGATGCAAATCGTGAATTCGTCAGTGTCAGGAAAGTTTCATAGTTTGGGCCTATTTGTGATTGAGGTCGAGGCTGAAGGAGAAGCGAGCCAACGTGCATGTCAAACAAGAACCGAGTTGCATATCAAACAAGAACCGAGTTGCATGTCAAACAAGAACCGAGTTGCATATCAAACAAGAACCGAGTTGCATATCAACTTGAACAAGAACCGAGTTGCATATCAAACAAGAACCGAGTTGCATATCAAACAAGAACCGAGTTGCATGTCAAACAAGAACCGAGTTGCATATCAAACAAGAACCGAGTTGAGTTGGCACTTTTATGGCTATCCATCGCTCCGGCGTATATTGATAATGAGGAAATTTGACAATCTGTAATCTGTAACTGAAAAGGTGTGATTTCGTATTTGTAAAAAATACGGTGTCATTTTTACTATAAACGCCTACTTTCGTTCCCCAAGCTAGTGGCGTTAATTTGTACCGGAAATTAGGGGTGGGGAAAGGTAGGGGATGGCTTGCCCGGCCATGAAAATTTGAAAAGCGGGGGGGATGAAACCATATGACTTCATCTAGAGATCGGTGTTCATGATATGGATAAACATGTAAATGTACATCTGTAATAATGGCATATTTTTAGCTTTCGTTTTTCTTTTTTTTTTTTTTGAGTGATAATGAATGCATTTTAGTCGTTGGAGGTCTAAAAAATTCTTCATAATCAGCTTCACTTTTTTGCTCCCCACAAAAGTGGGGGGGGGGGATAATTCAATAGCCCTCCAACATACACATACCAAAGGGGGGTATAAACACCACCATCACCCTTAAGCGCATGCTCCAAACTGACGTAAACTTAAAAAACAAATCATTATGGCATTCATCCAAACAGCATCGAATAATCCTGGCAAGATCAGTGGTTAAATCGATGACCCGATAGTGGCTGTTTGTCTTTTTTCCACTATGTGAGATGCCCATTTCAGGAAATATGATGTCCCTTTGAAAACAAATCTTTCTTTCGCGGAGAAGACCCTCCCCTCCTCGCTTTTGAGTCCCGCCCCCATCACTTCGGAGAAACGACCAACCCGGAATCGAACTCCCCAGCGGGTTGTGAAAAAGAAGAAAGGGGGACGCACGCACTGTAAGCCCTGCATGCCATGATTCTACCTCCATGCCTGATCTAATGCATCTTGGAGAGAAAATATAACTCTATCTGAGAACAAAAGAAACTTTCGACCAGCAAATAAAACTGAATTCTAAAACTCGTAAAAATTATCCCGCTATGTTTCATTTAAGGTGGGATAATTCTGGAGGCATACTGATGTTTACATAAGGTGAGCACCCCGTGACGTATTATTTACCTCGCTTGTTGAATGAGTCATCTGTACTGCACTGTGTCATTGCGATGCCTACGCCTTGAACTTAACTTGTGGAGTTTTAGCTGCGTTTAGCATTCTGAGTTGTCCATTTCTTTGTACGAAACATTTATTTAAAATTATTTTTGTAGTTGTTTTGCAAAGAAAATCATGTTGCTACGATGCCTTTTACTCGCTGTCAGTATCCCCGCCGTTATATGTAAGTAATTTTCCCTGCGTTGTCACATTTTATCTTAAAAATGCTAATTTTGCTTTCCTGTCGCTTGTTTTTACATAGCATCTATTTCGTGAAATTATAATATTTAGTCAGCAATACAAACTAGCAAACGTTAGAACACGGCCTACTGCCATTGTACTGGCACAAGTGTTGCAGGACTACCCAAACTTTTATGTCCAAGAAAGAGTTCCATATACACTTGACACGTTGTTTGCAGAATTTACAAACCCTGTGAACACTACATGTAAGTAAAATGGTGATCAGGTGATCATGCCTGGTGAACATTAAACATGTTGAAGAACATTATAGTTTCTATACACGATGAAGAATGAAAGTTGAGAATGAGACTTGTCAGAAAAATTCTAACAAAAACATGTCTAATGGCAGACTTTGTCGTTGACCGTGTAGTTGCCACACCCCTTATTTTACCACTCACTTTGAAAACCAACCAGACTTGACAATAAGTGGCAAAATTACTAATTATGGCCATGGCGGCTGACACTATGAACATCAACAGTGCTAAAACAATGGATGCTCAGTGTGTTTCTTTTGTTAGATGATTGTAGTGTAACGTTACAGTTAGGTCCTACACACAGTCACCGATATTAGTCTAGCCTTAGTGTTTTTGAGCATGCCTAAGTTAATTTGTCATGTTTGTTTTTATTTTCCCTGCCAAAATTTGACTGACTAGGATATGCATGACATGCTATCGCTTTCTTATGGCTAAGTGGTACCAGTATATTATAAGCCTTATTGCTAATAGTAATACCACCTGAGTGATTTTGCTCAATTGGTCGAAAGGCACGTGAAAAAGGGGCAATGTTTGCACCTTTTTCCTACCAACAATTCCTTTGTAACATGGTACAAAATCACCCATGCGGTACTGTTCGTGATGAGACTTTCCTGTATGGCACTGTAGGGAGAAATTACTGATTTCTTTTTCGATGTTGCAGTTTTAACTCTTTCCTTTCTCCCTTGTAACATTTTGCAAGGTTTAGTAAGGAGATTCGGTACATGTATGAAGCATGCTTCAATTACAGAATAAATTTGGCTGAGCATGAAAATCTGTGCAGCAAGATCAGGCATGTCAGAGCGTGTGGAAATGTGCTGGACGATCAACCCCAGAATTCTAGTGGTATCCCTGATATGATTTGCTTTTACACTAGCATGACAACTGAACATCCCAGTGTGTTTTAGGCACTTTAATTTTTACGCATGAAAATCTTTGTTTTGTTCTGTAGCATGATTTATGCATTTCCCTGAAATAGTGAATTTGTATCCCTAAATTAAGGGCTAACATTAAATGACTTTCTTACAGTATGACTGGTGCAGTTGGGACTTCATTTCTCTTAAATGTATCCTCCAGAGCCACAAATAACGAAATGATTGAGATATCCTGCAATTTGAATTATTAATGTCAGATTTGATGTAAAACAATAAACAGATATATGTTTGTGTATATTTGTGGCCTGGCCTCTGTCGTGTCTGTCATGTCTATATTTTCATTTCACGAAGAGGAGACGTGTGGCAGGGTTAAGGAGTTCTCATTTGCTCATTAAAATCCCAAGTTAAATTCTGCCTGACGCATAGAAGTTACCATGGATTCAAACCCATGAATTTAAAACTTAAAATTGTATTTGTCATTGATTAAATGCCGGTAGTATTAAAATAATGTGTAACAGATTCCTGGCAAAATAATGTTTACACATTTTTTTCATAGTGTAAAAGTTTCTTTCAGGGCCAAACAGACCTTGAAAAATAGCACCTGCCCGACATGAAATTTACGTGTTTTAAAAAGCAAAATAAACCAAAAACCCTTAAACCATCACATCAACATCTGACAGGGATGTGTATTATTACTGCAGGCACATACATGTACATATACGTACATGTACGTACATGTACATATACGGACATGTACATGTATGTAACAAGCCCTTTTATGAAATTTGAGACAGTGCCAGATACATGTTTGGAGCCACTTGGCTAAATGCCAATTTGACATTCAAAGATGGTCACAAGTTAACATTTCATGTAGTAAAAAAAAGGGTGTGGGGCTATATGAAAGCTACCTGTACACAAAAAAGTGTATAGGTCAGTTGATATAATCAAAGACTCTCCACATTGGCATTATTTCTTACATGTAGGATTTATATGTACATGTAGGCATGATTATTTGATTTCGCCATACCTATATCTACATGTACATGTACCATACTGTACATACACGTACATACATTTTACTAATGTTATACTACATCTATAATAAGAGGAGACAGCTTTGAAAACTACCAGTATGTAATTTGAGCAATTACAGATACGTGTACCGGGGTATTATAAGGAAGGAATTCCACATTTGACCATCACAGTTTACAAATCAGCACTAATGAGTTGACCTAACTTTTTAAAACCTGTTCCCCCAGGTAGTGAACACCTTTCCTTGCTCCTCCCCCATTAGAATCAAACGGCACACCTTGTTAAATGTCATGATGTTTAATGTGGTCCAGTACGGGATCCCTCGACTCCAAGGCTCTGTGTTCAATGTAGAAAAATGTACACAAAAAACAGTTGTCCATGTGGCGTTACGTGCAGCGCAAGGGAAATGGATGAATGTTTGTGCTTAAGGGAAATTACTCAAATCCTGTTTAGGTATTGAAATGTCACATTGTACAAGTGAATGTACACCTCCACATCATTCAAAATTACTAGGTTTAGAAGATCAAGGAAATTAAAGGTTTTAGGGTTACGCACATTCTGCGGGTTACAGTGCACGACTTTATTATTCTGCCTCCTTGTAAAATTGGAATTAAACTCATCAAAAATTAGTCAAGTACGTTGTTTATATGTACACATGTATGTACGTGTATGTAGTTTGGAAAATAGTGCTCTTGATATTCTAAGAATAATTTCCTGTGTAGTGGGAGATTTTGAGAGATTGCAGAATGTTCCAGAGTTCCAAGCAAATGGGGTTAAAATCAAGTGTCAGTGTGGAAATAACACATTGTATCAAAGTTTCAATGTAGAACAAAAGTGATTGGGTTATTCATGTACGTGTATTTATCAATGTTTGTTATATTCTGACCTTTTTGCAGATGCTGAGCGCTTAGGCAGGTTCATCAAACATTATGACACACTAAGTTACGATTCTAATGAGCTTCATTTGAAGCATGAGAGAGCCAGACGCTCAACATCAGCAGAGAGCTCTGTCCATCTGGATTTCACTGCTCACGGGAGGTGAGAACCTAGTCCGAATTTCCAGCAACCTACATGTAGAAGCAGTTTTTCAGGGGATGGGCAGGAATTCTGTGGCCTTGGATCTCAGCCATGCAGTGACAGATTTTATTGAAACTTGGTATTTGTGTAGACAATGCCATGATTTGCACATCACATGCACATGTAGTTACCAGTAATCAAAACCACTCTGGTCTTTAATATTGCACACTACATTGTGCCTCTTCATGAATGATTGTTTTTTCCTTATGCGTCATTTAAATACAGTGTTTTGGCACCCTACCATGCCTACAGCCAAAAATTGGCATTTTACAAGAACAATACACTCGTTTTATTTTAGTTGGTAGTAGTATACAGTTTGTGAAAAATATTACAAACTGAAAAGGGTCCAGCCCAATAAAGAGTTTGTGGTGATGGTATTAGGAAAATCTGTGGTGTAATTTGACAACCAGGATTAGAAGTCATTACTGGAGTGGCACAACACTCATAGACAGGTGTGAGACACACATTACTTGCCTCTTCTGGCAGTAGGCAATTCCAGTGACCGTGGTAATGCCATAAATGGTTATTTGCAACGGCGGTGAGCACCGTGACAGCTTTTTGTACTGAGCCACAGTTCCATGACAGTCATTCAGTGCAAAAATCAACACGCTGCTTACCGCCATTGGAGGGGGCCATCAGGAATGTCCAGTGAAATGTCAGTGGGTTCATCAGTACATGTACAATACATGTACAATGTAGGATGTCATGATTTGTCACATGCCTGCGCACGTCAAGTTGAAGAATGCATGTGTGATTGCAGTAACACCACAGTTCTAATATCTCCTCAAATTACACTTGAGAAGGGGTCAGTGCGTCTGCTCAAAAGCTTTTGCAGTATACATGTATAATACTTAGCTTTTGACGTGACTTTGATGTGCTAGACTTGCAAGAACGAAGGCATATTTTTCAGTGATTCCAGGGAACAGCATTTCAATTTCTCCGTTCTCAAGAATTTCCAAATCAGTAGTGTCAGTAATTTGAGGGGAACACAAAAGTCTGGGACAGTCCAGGACTACAGCCTACAGGTACATT